TCTCCTTTTTTAAAGCTACTATCAATAAAGGTATTACTTTAGCTTGACCTATGATCAATTTTTAAATTTTGTGATATATTTGGTTCAACAGAAAAAAAATTATAACCCTTTGACATTGGTTGTTTTTACTTAGATTTTCATAAAAAATAAACGGAACTGCAAACATGTTTTACTATCGTAATAACGAATAGCAACATTAAATTTTTTTTTCACATTTATCACTGTTATCATTTTCATAAAGGATTGATAAGAAGGCACACTTTCTGGTTTTTTGAAAAAGGTAGCAAGAATTGTGATATTTTTAAATTTATCACCAGTGATACCACATGTAGTTCCCGATTTATTGGAATATATAGACTTTGCTACCACATTCAACTGAACTTGGTTGTTTTTAATATTTATCACTGTGACAGGCGTTTTTGTCAAAATGTTTCATTTTAAACTGCTGTAAATAGGTGCCTTTGTTTTGGTAGTTTTAGTCCCAAAAAAATCTATGCATATACAGGTACTCATTCCTCTTTGATTTGTTCGAAAAGTTAAAATTTTATAAAAAATTACATTGGCAGTTTAAAAACTCATTATAATCCCTGAAATGTGATAATTAGGTAAATTAAATTAAAAAAATAAACAAAACAAACTTATTAAATTAATATTTACTCTTACAAAATAGGTTCTTGTAAGTTAACAAGCAATTATGTAGATATTACCAAGTAAATGTACTTGCTTAAAATTCACACACGAATGTGGTTTTAACTTGTTAAATTAACTAACCCTTATAACTGTTTTCACATGTATTCTTAGAGATGCCATTCTTTTACTTAATTGTACATCTTCTGGAGAACTTTTTTCATTCTGTGATACACTAGGTGTGGCTTTACTAAAGTGCATCCCATGTTTTCAAGTAGCTAAATATTCTGAAACCCCTATCTGCCATTATATGGGATCCAGGAATCAGTTTGTTTAAATACCCACATTTGTCTATTATTTCTTTATCACTATTCTTCCACAAAATGATGAATAAATTCAGTATCTTCAAAACTTTCAGGAGATTCTGCATTTTCTTCCAGAAGGGTTTTTAGGATATACACCTAAGAATTTATAGTAGCCTCATTTTCAATTTCCTGAAGGGGACAATTAGCAGAAATTGCTGCTACATCTTGATAATCCGGTGTATTTTTATTAAAAAGTTTACGAGAAACATCGCTAGTAGAAGGTTGATTTTCTTCTTTCCAAATTTCTAGGAACACTAATAAATATTTTTGAAGATGAATGTGAATCATTATCACATTCTGGAACAAAACACTTTTTCGTAGTCATAATATTTATAAAAAGTACAAAATTAAACACTCAAATTCCAAATAAATTCTTGATCGAGACACTATGATGACAGATGCCATGCACAGTGCTGCCATTTTGCCATTTTCTGAATTATTAAGTGACTTTTAAAATAATGAAACTTTAAATATGGTAAAAGTTTAAACAGAAATAATACTTTCAAAAAACATTTGATATTATATATTTAAAAGATATTTGTTTAACGATGTTTTAGAAGTCTAAAAGTAAGAAGGAGTACACAAACGAACGTACATCACTTCTCGTAAACCTTCTAGCCGGCAACGTTGTGCGCTAGCTCCTATTGGTCTATTCCCGGTGACGTCATACATTTTAAAAAAATTCATAACTCCGGCAAATGAATAGATAAAAAAAAATAAAAAAAATGTAGTTTTATTTTTAACTCTACTATTCATAAAAAAAATTTCAAAATTTTTGAACATGCCCCATTCATTTTAGCAATATTGATATGATTTTGAAGAATTTATCTACCTATTTTTAAAGTCGAAAACTATCAAAACAATAAATGAATAAATATATTGTATAACTTTTTAAAGGGGTGTTAGTAAGCAAGAGTAGTGATTAATTTATAATAAGAATCATTAAAATTAAATCAATCTATTTGTTCAATACATTTTATTAACATACATATATTACCAATTTATTAAAATAATTGCATAAGTCTCTACTATGATTATATTGTCAATTTCAAAACGACAGTGTACAAATATTAAAAGTAATTTAAAAAAACCGACTTTAAACTCATACAGATGCTGTCATCACATCTTAACCAAATTAATATGGGACCACCCCTTAGGTACCCCCTTACTAACAAAAAAAGAATCATAGAAATTGAACAAGGTGGTAAAGAATTACCGCTAAACATACATTAAAAATTAAGAGTTTGAGGATTTTCTAATGGACTCAATTATTAAATTTTAATCAAATTAATGTAGGATCACCCCTGAAGTACCGCCTTTCTAACAAAAAAGATACATTAAAATCGAATACCGTGTTAAAGAATTATCGCTGAACATACATAAAAAAAATATTACGACGAATTGAGAATCTTCTCCTTTGTTGAAGTCGATTTCCTCACCAAAACATGTAGATACTATTTATTTTTCAACGAAATTTAGCGGAGAAAATACTTTTCTACATTTTCCTTTGAAATATGTCAGTATTATAGTCAAAATTGTTATTTTTTAAATATTATCTATGGAATTCTGTATTAGGCATTCCAATGTCCTGTCTAGTGGGTAATGACAGGTTATGATATGGCAACCCTGTGGGCCTCTTATCGTTGACAGCGCTTAAAGCGGGTAGATTGCCTCTCAAGGGCTTATTAATCAAAATCAGTTTAGCAAAAAATGTGTTTTAAAACCAATTTTCAGCTTTTGAATATAGTAAAAAAAAATATTACCTACATTTTTTACTTTAAGGAATAATGTTATGTTTATTTTGATCAGCCTATATAATTATCTATATCATTGACCCTGTCAAATAACCAAGTCCACAGGGTTGCCACCTGTCATTACCCACAGGCAAGTATTTTGTTTGGAATGCCTAATTAGAGAAAACTAGATAACTTATCTTCATTTGGGGTACGGTTCGCCGACTGTGTACCTACGGTGTTCCTACCAATCAGAATATTATGTTTCATTCAATTTAAAATACAATTTGTGCATAGTCAGCTCTGCAATTCAAGTAATACTCCAAATGAGTATTACAATTCTCTAATATGTATTAGGCATTCCAACGACCTGTCAAAATGCTTAAAAATGGGAACTGACAGTTTAGATATGGCAACCTTGTGGACCTGTTGTCATTGACTGGGTCAATGCCACATATATAGTTATATAGATTGCTCAAAGCAGCTCGTTTGCGAGCGGCCATATTGCCTCGCAAGTGCTCATTAATTAGAATCGGTTTAGCAAAAATGTATTTACAAACCAATTTTCAGCCTTTGAATATAGTAAAATGATAAATTACCTACATTTTTACTTCAAGGCATAAGCTTATGTTTATTTTAAAAAACATGGATTATCAATCTATATAACTATATATTTCATTGAAATTATCAAATCACCAGGCCTACAGGGGTGCCATATCATGACCTGTCAAAGCCCACTGGTATCCATTTTGTTTGGAATGCCTAATTAAATGGACCCATCAATATAAATGAGTAATTTCTTACCAATATAAATGATCTTTTTGTTAATACATATTGCTAATATGCAGGGTGTTTCGAAAAGGTGTCATAAATTCTTCCTTAGATAGATTACCAAAAAATAAGTGCATTTGGCTATATTTACCTACATCAAAAACTGGCTCCTATCAAAGTTACAGGACGTTAAACTAACATTCAAAAAAACGTTTTTTTCTAAAAAGTTTTCTGCAGCGATTTTTTCTTTGAATTCTTCTGCCAGTGCTGTAGATTTAAAGGCCCAATATTCAAAGGAGAAAAAAAAATTAAAGCGAACTCCTTAAAAACAGTTGGGAGTTGGGTACCTTTTAACTCTCCATATTTTTTTTGACATAAGGAAACTTGCTTTATCGACCTTAAAATTAAAAAAAACTATGAATTTTTAAATTTTTTTTATAGCGAAATGGACTTTGTATTTTTCTTAGTTGACGAGCTATTTACAATTTTTTAACTGAATTTCTAGAGCAATTCGTCCGTCCTGGACATATCAACAAAACTAAGAGTAGATCAGGAGTTATTGTACAAAAAACGCATATAAAAATCAGTAGTGTGCCTAGAGCTGTGCTTGAGCCGCCCCTGCAAAAACTACCTCTTTTATTTATATTTTTATATTCAAGAAGGGGGAGGACATGTTGAACATTTACTAAATTAAATAGTTTATAAAATATGTATAATAATTATTGTCAAGTGTTTATTTTTAACTGTTGCCAAACTAACGTGTATTTTCATCAGTGACATGGTGAATTCATGAGGATGGAAGGCACACCATTTTTATGGCGCCAATCCAATATTATAAATACTTTTTTTACAAAAATATAAATAAAAGGGGTAGTTTTTGCAGGGGCGGCTCAAGCATAGCCCTAGGCACATCACTGATTTTTATATGCATTTTTTGTACAATAACTCCGCACCTACTCTTAGTTTTGTTGATATGTTAAGTCCAGGGCGAACGAATTGCTCTAGAAATTCAGTTAAAAAATTGTAAATAGTTCGTTAACTAAGAAAGATACAAAGTTAAATTCCCAAAAAAAAAAATGATCAATGAAGCAAGTTTCTTTATGTCAAAAAAAATACAGGGAGGGGGTGATAAGGTACCCAACCCCCCCAACTTTTATAAGGGGGTCTATTCAATTTTTTTTTCTTAGAATATTGGACCTTCAAATCTACAGCACTGGAAAAAATTTCAAAGAAAAAATCGCAACAGCAAACTTTTTACAAATAAAAAAGTTTTTCTGAATGTTAGTATAACGCCCTGTGATTTTTTTGGGAGCCAGTTTTTGATATAAGAAAATATAACCATATCCATTTATTTTTTGGTAATCTATCTGAGGAAGAATTTATGACATACCTTTTTGGAACACCCTGTATATCTCTTTCCCTTATGTTTTTGGTATTTGGTATTTGGTTCCAGATCCGTTCATAGATTTATCGAATTAATAAAAACCTGCAATTTATTTTTTAGGTATGCGATTTGGAATGATAGAAACGAAAATGGGAATAATCAGTTTATTGAGGAACTTTAAAATTACCCTTAATGAAAAAACAGTATCACCTATTCGTTATTCAACAACTGGATTGGTGGCTACTTGCAAAGGAGGCATTTGGCTCGATCTTGAGAAAATATCGGCACATAATTAAACAAGTATTATAAATGAAAAAGACGTTGTATAAACAATATAATTTTTCAAGAGCGCTCAGAAAATTCCTCCTCATTACACGAAATTCAGTTTACAAAGATGTACTTTTCCGCATTAGTGCCATACTCATTTTAAGAATCGGTCACAATTATCAAACTCCTTTAATCTTTTGCCGTGTGGTATTGGCATTATTTGTCATTCTTTACAAGAATAAATAATTTTAGATTCTATTTTATCTTAAAAAGTAAAAAATAAACTAAAAATAATTAAAAAATGTTGAAAAAGATTAGCTTTGATTCGTAGATTTCTTATCCTTACTAGAATGAATATTAAATTATATCTATTCAGTTGACTGATATCGCATACTTATTCGTTCTGCAGTTTGTGCATAAAGTAGATAATATACATAGAAAACTAATTATTCCAATATATTATTTTGTTCAGTTTTCAAAATTAATCAAATGTCATAATAAAGGCGTTTGAATCAAAATTTTAATGATACAATCTTGTAATTTTTTTAAAAGCTCTTGTTTTTACTATATTTATAAAAAATATAATTTAAAACCGGCGGTACTTATCATGAATTAAAATTATATATGGATCAACAACGCGATCTCATCTTGGTAATCTTTGCTTCTACCCTCTCAGGTAGATACCCTTTTCTCTGGTGTCAGGAATGACTGGGCATTTTTAAAATCGATATTTTTTAAGTTGTCCTACCACTCTTCTAGCACAGCCTTATAACGATTAGAGAAATACTATAGCAATTAATTAAGAGCATGTTTTGACTGCCGCTTTTAAATATTATCTCACAAGCGTCCAACTTCACTTCCACCAGAAAAAACCCATTTCACGCTCGCAATCAAAGCAAATATTTTGCGGAATCCGGACGTGTGACACCATACTTGCACATTCAGAGCCCAATTTCAAAGTTGTAAACTTCAGAAAACTGTATTAGCTCGTTAGGCACCTACATCAAGCGGAACAAAAAGCTTTTTCCACCCTTCCACGCGTTCGGGCTAACAAAGGGAGCGCTGACAAATTAACCTTTACAATGTTAACCGGTAAACATGTTATATATATATATATATTTACTTGTAAACTTACATCACAGTGGGCGTGAGTGGTGACGTTAGGTGACATTTTTTGTTCAAATTACATTTTAATAGGACAGTTGTGTATTACGAAGTATATTTGACATTATTCTTGGAACTAATATTAATTAGCAATCTATACTGGATTCAATATAAAATTCAATGCACATCATCGATGCCGTTAATGACAGATATTAGTAGTACACCACTGAACTCCTCCTGTTAAAATTAATATAAAACACCTGTTGGGAGTTTCAGTAAAATAAACCGATAAAAAATAATCGAAGAAATGCTCCGAAATATGTTAAACAAAGACTTTATTAACACAGAGAAGTAAATAGGTGGTAATTTAAATACTTTATTAATTAAAACTTGCTTGGAAACTTTTTTCTTCGATTTATTTTACCGACTTTCCCAACATGTGTTTTACAATAATTTTAGCAGAGAACAAAAAATTGTCAGGTTTGAAAAGAGTATTGAAATACCTTTAAAATGATGTGCCACTTGACCCCTCTTGCCATTTAGTATTCTTGAAGGGGTTACCACCCCGTTCAAAAGGATGAATCTACACCCATGAAGTATCCCGTGAAATTAAAATCGACCGGTCTCGGGGATTTTCCAAAAAACCTCTCCTATGAAAATATTTTAGGTAAACTATTTTAATTGGGTCACCCTGTATATATAAAGTGGCAAAAGCTCTTCTAGTAGGGCTATTGGCTCTCTAGGTCCATATTTTGGGTGGATAAATCCTATTCTCCTAGATAGTACTCTTTACAATAACCGTCCATTTTTCTCAATCCTGTAATTTTCTTCCTGCGTAGATCTTCTTTCTCTTCTTTCCGCCAACCTGATCTGGGTCTTCCACGTCTCCTTCTCCCTCCGGGGTTCCATTCTAATATTGAGTGACCCAATCTTCCATTTCCTGCTCTCCAAACGTATTCCAACTCTGGATTGTTTTAGTTTTGTTAATATTGTTAAAATAGTTACATTATCATGTTTTCTCTTTGCTCTAGCACTTATATATTTATAATATACCCTTGTTACCAATTGAAAAACAAAAAAAAATTGTCATTATTTTGTACATTGAATGTCAGCAACTTTTTAAATAAAGAAATTCATTTAAATTTGTTTTCGTCTTTTTGGTTTAACTTCAACAATTATGTCTTCTAGCTCATGTTTAATTTCTTGATTTGTTCTAATTATGTTTTCATCTTCTGTGATTTTAATTGGTTCTAATATTGCTCTCATAATTTTTGCACTTCTTCAACTTCATGTTTTCCTATTTTAATACTTTTTGATTCTGCTTAATTATCTAATACCATGATTTTTGTTTTTCTTGGTTTAGCTCTAGTCCCATGTTTTTTCCTTCTTTTACAATTTTGTTCTAGATGTTTACCATGATTTTTGATATTATCACTATGTCATCAGCATATGTAATTACTTGACCTCATGCTCTTAGTGGCTCTTTATTAAGTTTTCTCATCACATATTCTGGTGAGAGATTGAAAAGAGTGGCTGATAGCGAATCACCCTGCATTACTCCTTTATTAATTATGAATTCTTATGTCGCTCCTTTTTGTGTTTTAATGTTAATTTTTGTTTCTTGTATCGACATTGTTATTAACCGCCTTAACTTTTTTGGTATTCCTAATTTTGGATGGGCCAGCTGCAGTTTTGTTCTTCTTATTGAAGACTTGTTTAAAGTCAATAAAAAGCATTTCTACTTCTATTTTGTGTTAATACGCTTTTTTCATTATTTATTTGATTTCATGGATTGCATCTATAGTTGATTTTCCCTTTATGAATCCCCATTGGTACTACCCTATCATCTTTTTTGTTGTTTGTGCTAGAACTGAAGTGTTATTCCTCTGTAATTTTGACATATTTGTTGGTCAACTTTTTTATGGATTGTTATCACCTTGTTAAGGGTCAATTTTAATTCCATTAGACTAGTTTTTTTAACAAAACATTAACGCTTTACCTGCTTTTTCACTATTTTCGAGTAATAAATAAAAAACTCGCCTAAATTTGTGAATAATACACAAGATTGATTATCTTCGTTTCCATTTATTAAAACTAACCCATACATAATATTTATGTTGTTCATTTATATGCTGTCAACTCTTGACCATGACCTTAAGGTAGTTCTTCTTCTTCTGTTCTTTATTTGATTTCAATTTGTGTAAATTGGGTAATTAGGTTAATTAGGATTAGTATTGGCAGTTTAGCCATCCCAAATCAAGGACATTTATCTTCGTAGGTACATTTATCATCGTAGGTCCTGAAGGTTTATCTGTCTCTCTTGGCTCTTTCTCTTTCTTTTTGATGTTGGTTTATAGACCATCTGGTCTTTAAAAATTATATCGAATAATTTTGGATTTTATACCACCTAAAATAGATAAGTTCCATTAAGCAATTGAAATGTACCATATAAGTATTGTACCAGAAAAAATAAGAGTTGATTTTAGTACACATTTTATGGATTTGTCGATACTTATAGGTATAAAACGGGGTCCTACCTTATTCGGTAAGTCATCCAGATATAACCTTGCATGTAGCTATAGCTAGTTTTATATCTGCTAGGCCCTTTCTTTTTTCTTTTATTAGTTTCCTTTATAATTTGAATACTATTTGCTATGCCTACTATTTCTATCACCTAGTACTAAAGTTTAATTGCGTCTTCTGTAAAATAGTTAAAATTGAGTTACGCCTGTTTGTCTTTCCAGCGACGAAGTAAACTGGCGCCCGAGCAAACGATTGAGTGTAGCGCCATTCCAGTATTTTCTTGAGAGATAGAGAAAAACCCTTATATATGTACAGGATTTGTGTAAGATATCAAAACACCAGAACGTAAACGTTTAGGTCGTTTGATTAATAATTGCGAGGCTGTTCGTCAAAGTGTGACTGATTATCCAAAAATGTCCTTTGGACGTTGTTGACAAAATAACAACATGGTTGGTTTGAGATTACGAAGGAGCTGAATCCAGCCGATGATCTTTTAAAACTTTTATCTTAATTATTATCAACATTCAAAAACCCATTATAATATATTTATTTATTTCGTCCACCTTATAATAATGTGACCACTCACAACGTACTCACACTCATTCAAAGGGAATTTATAACATTAGCTGTAAAGTTATTTCAAGAGGCATAAAGCTAAATGCCTTAGTTAACATTTTACGAGTATTTCCTTTTGACCATGAAACATGAAACTACTGTTATTTTTTAGAGTTTAAGTATACAGACGCTTTTGAGCTTTGTTTCAGGATTTATAGAGCTTTTGCAACAGAAATGAACACTGCGTTATAATTATTAAGTACTAAAATCAACATAATAATTTTATACTAATTATCTTTAAAAACTTAAACTAGTTTATGGGTTTTATACAGAACTATATTATGTGGGTAAAGAGTTTAGATAGTTTGCCATTTATTGCTATTGTTCTTAGTAATTTTAGGTTCAAAGAATTCCCATCTGAGCTATTACAAAATAACTTTTGTTTTGAAATTACTCACGCCGCTGAAAAATTATTAATTTCTCGAGGAAGTGAATAAAAATAAAATATTCAGTAGGTGTTAATAATTGTTTAAAGTTGTAACGGTTATAAACGTTTTTGCCAGTGGTAGCAGCGTAATACTTATAGATTACGTTATAGGATCACTGTGATTAATAACTTTAAATGGAAACCATATGGTAAGTGACATTGTTATAATTAGCTTTATTAATATTAAAAATTAAAAAAATACATAAAATTTAAAAGAATACACAAAAATATAAATACGAAACAACAATTGTTATTACAATACGACTGACATTGAACTAAATGCATATTCATGGATATTTATTTATTTACCAAAACTCAAACAGGCCTATTGGCCTTTTTATATGAGTAATTTTCTTAACATAACAGTCAAATATATGTAATTTTATAACATGATTCTCAAATTATAATAAGTACAATGTACATTTGCGGAGGCAGATAAATACCAAAACCGAAAAATACAGAAAAAAGAGCT